GATCGGTTGAGTAGATGTGTAGCAAGCTGCCCACCCTGGCTACAAATGTCTTCTGCTCGGTGACTCCTGTTATTCCCCATTTTCAGAAAGAGAGTGGTCTGTGAGGGGGTACCCCCCAAAAACAGAAATTTTTTTTCAAAGCTAATTATTTGCATTTTTTTTTTACAAAACATTCTTATCACCTTCAAAGTACTCTCTTCAAAGTGTAATATCAAGTATTAAAAACAAAGTTTAAAAGCAAGTATTACACTTGGTACATTTGTCAAATCTGTGATTCCATTCTTGGAAACATTTTTCAAACTCATCTGTTTGGATGACTGACTGCACAGCACCTCCCTCGTTTTTTTCTTCGCCTCTGCTGTGTCAGAAATTTGCTGTCCTTTCATGTCCCTCTCCATTTGCAGAAACAAAAAGAATTCACACAGAGCGAGGTCAGGTGAGTAAGATGTGTGGGGCAAAAGAGACATGCTTTTTTTTTTTGCCAAAAACTGGCACACTGAGATGGCTGCATGAGCAGGTGCACTGTCGTGGTGGCAAAACCAGTCCCCAGTCTGCCACAAATTAGGACTTTTTTGGCACACTTAAAGCTGTCTTTTCAGAACCTCTAAATTCAAAGCTTGATTAACACTCTGACCTAGTGGAATGACCTCCAAATGTACTATCCCCCTCACATCAAAAAACCAAAAAGAAATGAGCATCATTTTAATCTTTGCTTTCACTTAACCAGCTTTTTTGGGCAAGGTGAGTGATGATGGTGTTTTCCACTGGTTTGATTCATGTTTGCCTTTGGGGTTGCAAGAATAGCACCATGTCTTGTCAACAGTAATGACCTTGGGGGGGAAAGTCTGGATGGTTTAGGAACTGTTCTTTCAAAGCACGGCATGTTTCCAGTTACGCTCTTTTTGCTGCTCAGTCGGAACGGGAGTTACAAATTTCTTAGCAACCCTTTTCTTGCCCAAATCTTCCGTTAAAATGTGCTGATCTGAACCTCCAGGATAGTCCAGATGACTTCCCCATATTTTCAATGGTCCGTTGTCGGTTTGTGAGTACAAGCGCACGGATTTTGTAAACATTTTCGTCTGGTCGGGAGGTTGACAGACGCCCAGAAAGAGGTTTGTCATCAATCTACATGCCAACTTTTTGAAATGAGAAAACCAATCATACACTTGAATTTCCCCCGTAGTGCTGTCCTTTTAAGCTGGGTTCAACATCACAGCAGTTTCTGTGGCATTTTCCCCTGAGCAGGAGACAACATTTCACAGCTCTTCAATCGGCAGTCACAAAAAATGAGGTTCAAGTGAAACTGCTTTATGAAAAAATTCACTGTGACCACAGAGAATCTTCCCAGGTGACGCCACTGGGTGCACTAACTCAGAGTGAGTTACAGATGCTCACGTAGAGGAAAAGATGCGTACTATCCAAGCTCTGCCAGCAGAGCTTTTTTTACAGTTTTTTTTTTTTTTGGGGTGGGGGGTGTACCTCCTTTTATGATCACTGTCCCCTGCATTGGTGTAGTTGCTTGGCATGGTTGTTTCCCTCTTGGTGTGGACCCTGATGGCCCATACTCTACCTTACCAAACACAATAATGCCTGACCATGGTTTTTCATAGCAGTTTGCAGATGAACGAAATAGTAGATGGCTAGTCAATTAGAATGCTGGCTTTTCCTTACAATATGTAGCTCAGCCTGGAATAGGTGTTAGGTGAAATCTTAGGCATTCTAATTTTTTTTTTCACTACACCATTGTTTCGCAGAGCCCTGGTGGTATGTGGTTATGTGCTCGGCTATGATCCACAAGGTCAGCAGTTCAAAGCCACCAGCCTCTGCAGGGGAGAAAGATGAGGCTTTCTCTTCTTGTAAACAGTTACAGTCTAGGAAACTCAAGGGGGAAATTCTACCAGGGTAATTCCCTTGTCCTATAGGGTTGCTATAAGTTGGTATCGACTCCGTAGCAGTGAGTGAGTGAATGCAATTGTTACTCATATGTGGAAAGCTGCTTTTTCATGGAAGTACCTTGATTTCAATAATGTGTTTCCTAGGAAATTGATGTTGGGGTTATCTACCAAAGGGCATTAGCAATTTTACTCTCCTCTCTCATGGCCTGCAGTGGGTAAACTGCTTGAACTAAGTCAATGTGAAGTACCTGCTATATAAGATAATGCTGGAGGCTACAGAGACTATGGATTCGGCCATAACTAGTTTGCCTTTGATGGCCCAGGTGCTCTAAAAGATGGAATACCTTTAACAGAGGAAGTACCGCATGAAAAGTTGTTTTAATATGCTTGCATAAAAAGTGTGTGTGCTTCCATGGCCCTTTAACATAACTTTTTGTCTTTTCCTTTCCAGATATTGTGAATAACCGGGTTGTTCATTTTGATTTGCTTCATGAAGATGTGTCCCTTCAGTATTTCATTCCAGCATTGTCTTAACACCAACCTTGGGCCCCAAAGACCCTTGTTGTGATGAGAAGAGGATATAGGTTCATGGGTTCTAAGTCATTTGTCACCATTCTCAGAGTAATATGTTGTACATGTTCTAACTAAAGAGGGAATTAATGAAACATAGCTGGATACGCACATCATTTCATAAAACTTCTTTATTTTCACATCTGTTTTGTTTTGCTTTTATGGTAGAAGAAAAGTTGGAACTTATTTACCCAGACCTTAAATACTCATTTTTAATGGTGAAGTGAAAATTTCATGTTATTTTAGACCTGGTACAGTATCAGAATTTGTAAGAGTATGCAGAAATTGGAAATCAACACAAAGAAAGAAAATTATTTTTTAATCTTTTATGGCTTTGGAGTCCTAGAGGTGCAATGAGCTCAATGTTGGACTGCTATTGGCAGTTCAAAACCATCAGCCACCCCATGGGTGGAAGAGGAGCTTGTCTGCTGCCATGAAGATCCACAGTCTCAGAAACCCTATGGAGCAGTTCTGTCTGTTCTGGACGGTCACTTTGAGTTGGAATTGACTTGATGGCAGTAGGGTTCTGGCTTTTTCAGATTTAGTAAAACTAATAACGCAAATGTCACTTCTTTTGTTTAACAGTGTTAGTTTAAATGGGCTGTGATATTTTGTCATTAAATTTAAAATTTGGAGGCTATAATTTTATTTATTTAAAATTTCTTTTGACTTAGGAAAAATTCCAACTATAGATGTAAAACTTAAAATTCATGATGCAAAATGAAACAGTATCTGAAAATATTTTATAAAATTTCACATTTGCTATTAAAACAGGGACTTACCAATCTAGAAAATCAGTTCTGAATTTTTAAAAGATGATTTTGAATGTGTAAAGAAAACATATTGCTTGTAGTGAATAGCCTTCCTCGTTTGCATTACACAAAATGCCCTCTGGTTTTGCCATAATCTTCACCTTTGTGCTTCTGCATTCTGTTATTGGCAGACCAAATGTCAAGGTGCAGCCTGAGAAAGGCATTTCTTTCTGGGCCATCCAGGAGATGACAATGGAGGCATCTTTTTTTTTTTTTTTAATTCAATTTATTGGGGCTCATACAATTCATCACAATCCATAGATCAATTGTGTAAAGCACATCTATACATTTGTTGCCCTCGTTATTCCCAAAATTCGCTTTCCTCTTGGGTTCCCAGAATCAGCTCATTTTCCTTTTTTCCCCTTCTCCTCCCTCTCCCCTCCCCCCTCCCCAATGCACCCTTGATAATTTATAAATTATTATTATATCTTATTTTACACTGCCCGGCGCCTCCCTTCACCCACCCCTCTGCTGCCCGTCCCCCAGAGAGGAGGTTATATGTAGCTCCCTGTGATCAGTTTCCCCTTTCTACACCCCTCTTCCCTCCTGGTATCACCACTGTCACCCCTGGTCCTGAGGGGTTCATCTCTCCTAGATTCCCTGCGTTTCCAATTCCCATCTGTACCACTGTGCATCATCTGGTCTAACCAGGTCTGCAAGACAGAATTGGGGTCATGGTGGTTGGGGGAAGCGTTTAAGAACTAGAGGAAGGTTGTGGGTTTCATTATTGCTGTACTGAACCCTAAGTGACTCATCTCCCCACTACCCCTCTGCAAGGTATGTCCAGTTGTCTAGAGATGGGCATTGGGTCCCCATCAATCATGCGCCACCCTCATTGACGAGGACATGAATCGCCCCTCTCCTCCCCCGCCTTTGGTATTTGAAGCCTGGTCCCTTCGGCCCTTCATGATCACACGTGTTGGTGTACTGCTTCCATGTGGGCTTTGTTGCTTCTGGGCTAGATGGTAATGGAGGCATCTTAAAGAGCGGGCTGTGGCTTCATTTTGCAGGATAGGCTATTAATATGCCCAGGGTCATACAGATAGTGTCGGGGATGGGATTTGAACCCAGGACTTATGAGCCATGACCCTTATCTTCACACTTCCTTGCTGAATGATTGTGTTTTGTGAAGAATTGCTTCTGTTTCGGCCTTTCAAGCTATGGTTTTATAATTTCCACTATATGATTTGCTCTGATTCTGCAATTAAGGTGGATGGAACCCTTGTGCAGATTGAACTGTCTGCTCAAGCAAATGAGGTTTAAGAAACCATTATAAAGGGGGGTGGGTTTGTTACTACAAATAAAGTATATAGAACCCAAGTTTGGAATTCATCAGTTTTGCCATCCCACCAGGTTTAAAAAGTACCCATTCCAGAGACTGAAGGAAGATATCACTACCATTAAGAGAAAGAAAAAAATCCTTTGGAACCAGGGTGCCTGGGCTGAGAACCTCCTGGACTCCGGAGACATGTGTGACGCTGGCTGTCTCGAACACTGGAGGCAGCAGCAGCACAAACAGAAGAGGCATGGGACTGGCAGAAGACTAGTTGCTGCAGAACAAGAACAAGCTCCTAGATAGTGAAGTTCTGGGTTTTTTCCCAGATAATACTTGCTATTGGCAATATGGCTCAAGATTATTTCCTGTGTGTGGAATGTGGCTAATTTAAAGAGTTTTAAATCAGGAATCCTGAAACTGAGGTATCTTTCTGATTCTTGTACCAGGTTTGCTATTTAGTGTTTATCAAGTCCTCTAACACTTTGCATCTCAGATGCCTATAAAATCAGGATAATTGTACCTCCCATAATAATGGAAAGAGAAAACCATAGACTTATGGAAATACGCCATGATGTTTTATTGAGCAGTACTAAGGACACATTCTGCCGGGAGTCAGTTCTAACGCATAGGAACTCGAGAGGAAAGAGTAGAACTGTCCTTGTGAGTCTCCCAGACCGAAAATCCAATGGGAGTAGAAAGCTTCATCTTCAGACAGCTAACCTTGTGTTTAGCAGCCCAGCATGTAACCACCAATTATTTATTAGAGCAACAAATATAATTTTATAAGCTATTTTAAGACTAGCATTTAAGGTGTTTAAATCTCTTTGAAATGGCTTCCTGAACTTTCAAGAGAAGCATGCTGTCTATGATTACGTGAGAACTTACTGACCGCATCCAGTGTGTGGACTGCTGTCCGCAGTGCTGGAGCGGGTGGAGTCTTGCTCAGTGCTCCGCACTGCTTTGATAACCAGTTCCTGTGCTGAACCAAAGATAGTTAAGAATTTCTGATCCAGCAAGTAGGGGATTAATATCGGGGTGGTGTCATAATCCTCCTTCCTTCCTTGTTAAAACTAGGAATAGACGACATACTTCCCCCAGGCTGGATTTATAGTGTGACACCTTGTCTGCTCTGAAGGGCCGTGTTCACACTGGTATCCTTGAGGGCTTGGGCCTGGAATTCTGATATCTGCTGCCAGGTCAGGAAGATATTTCATGACATTGATGAATGTCTTGTATTAACAAATTCTATATGTCTGTATGGGTTCTAATAGGTGTAGTCTAAAAAGGAAGCTTGAAAGTCTTTTATTTTAGAGTGACAGTTGTAAAATTATTAAGATCACTTATTATAACTGGTATTACCTGAATTAGGGAAGGAAATGAACCCATTTACACACTGCTGGTAGGACTGTAAATCATAATAACTCTGGAGTCCAATTTGGTCTTATATATGGGAAGCCTTATGAAAAAATATATGTACCCTTCGACTCTTTGCTTTTACCTATAGGAATGTGTACTAATAAAGAAGTTGTAGCACTATTGTACTGCCAAAGTGGAGCTATCCTTAAAATGAATATATAGAAGATGGCTAAATAATCTATAGTTGATACATATTTTATACTGTAAAATGTAAATGTAATAGAAATAAGTACCGGTATGGCACAATGTTTATGACTTATAAATAAGTGAAAAAAACTATGTGCATTATAATTCCAGTTTTAGAGAAAACATATGTCTGAGTAAAAGATTCTGAAGGTGTGTATATATATAACACATTTTTTTCTCTGTGGTTTTTATTTCAATTTATATATTTCCTAAAAACTTTATTACACAAATAAATTATTTTTTCTGAAGATTGGATTGCAATAATTCTTTGAATCCAGTACATGTTCAACGGCAATTCGTTTCCTCAATCTTAGGGGACACAAATACATCCATGTTGTGGGCTATTAGTGCTCACAGCATGTCTTTGTTCTAGTAAGTAGAAAACTAAACTTTTGACATGTTGAAATTATAGTACCCTTAAATAATGGGGTCTGGATCAGTAAGAAAGCATCTTATTGCACAATAATTTCTTACCATGAACCAATATGAACACGGCTAAATATGTAATAAAAATTTTTGTGGGTCAAGATTTTACTTGAGGTTTCAAAAAATGTAGTAAAGGAAGAATTACTGATAGTTAGGTTCTAGACTGAGGAATGGACACCTGCTGGTATAGTGGCTTATACATTAGGCTGCTAACCACAAGGTCGGCAGTTTAAAACCTTCAGTCACTCACGAGAATAATGAGACCTGCTCCTGCCAAGAACGAGTCAGAAACCCACAGGGCAGTTCGACCCTGCCCTCTAGTGTTGCTGTGAGTTGGAATCTACTTAGTGGCAGAGGTTTTTTGAAAAAAAAAAATTAACAGTTTTATTGATATAATTCACATATGAGTCAATGGTTTTAACATCTTTTAAAGAGTTGTAATAGTTGTGCGTTCATCACAACTAGTTTAGAACATTTTCTTTATTCTTGTACTCAGTTGCTCCCCACCATAACCCTAAGAAGCTATCCAATCACTGTCTCTATAGATTCACGTATGAATTTCATGTAAAAAAACAACAAAAAAGTCTCAACAATCAAAAAGAAAGCAGAAAACAAAAATTAGAACATTTTAAATGGGTCAAAAGGGAGAACAAATGTTAGGGTCTTACATTTTAATGTAACTACACATCCATTAATCTACTTTCTAATGCACTGTGATAGGAAGGGGAGTTCACATCCCATCAGTGGTCAAAGGGGATTCATAAGAAGCTCCACATGGGACCCTGCAAATGGATTTTAGGCTGTCACAATCATCCCTAGGGCTGGGTTTTTGAGACAGGAATTTAAAGTGGAGCAAGAAAGTCAAGGTCTCACCAGTTGCCTAACAGGAAGATGAACTCAAGGGGATGATGGGGCCTCAGAAGCTGCCTGGATGACATCCAGATCCTCTCTGTGCAGCACTCCCCTGCCTACGTCAGAGAGAGAGGGGCCTCAGGTATGGGGATGAATCCTGGTTCTTCCTAAC